TCTTCTATTGAAATATGTATTGTACAATTAATTCATAATTGACTAACTTGGGAACTTGACCATGTTCCACAAGGTAAGCAACATTACACTATGTTCCTCTTTCTCATATTTGTATTGTGCTCTTCATTTGCAATACTTTTCTCATCTATCTAAAAGTATCATGTCAAAGAGGAAAAAAAAAGGCATATATTCTCACACTTTATGCAGGAAAAAACCAGAAAATTCTTCCTATTTATCTTTTTATATTGGTCATCTAGTTGACTAGATTTGGTGGTAACATAAAATCAAAGGAGCCAAATCCTAACACTTTGATATTTAAAAAACCGATGCTTTCTATATTCACAATGATGGCTAAAGTAGGTAAAAGACTTGGGTTTCCTCAGTTTGTGCAGAAGTTTGTGCATAATAAGCTGTTCCTCATTTTGTGCTACCCAGAAGTTCCATTTGGATGATGTGTGAAGTGAGAGACTCCCCCCAGAAGGCCCTGAGCATCGTTTGTCATTGGTCCTCCCTCCTGCCCCACATCGGGAAGTGAATGAGGAGCACACGTCCTGCAGCCTTAGATGTTCAGATCTCTGCCTCTCTGAAGTGTAGTGTTGGGAGATTCAAGGTATCTTCTGCACATTTTTGGTCTCTCTCCTGTAGTGATCTGATATCCTTGGTGTCTCAAATGTCCAGGATTTTAAGATATACACACACACACACACACATATTAGTTTGTATCATTTCTCTTCCCCCACCACTAAAAAACAAAAACAAAAAACCATTAAAGTTATTCTTTAATAAGTATCTGTTGAGGAATGGAAGGAACAAAGGAATAAAGGAAGGAAGGAGGGAAAGAAAGAAGGACAAGAGAAAAAAAGAAAAGAAATTATGAGGCTAAGAATGTCATAGTTAATCAAGTGAAACTTTTTAAGCTTTCTAACTGCAAGGCAGGTAATATTTTAACTAAGGCAATCAGTCTCAGCCAGGTCCATGGGCCTGGCCTGTGGATTAATAATGCATACAGTTTGTGTTATAAAGTTGACACCTGGCATGTACTAAGTGCTCTGTGCCAACCTAAATTCTTTATATACTTTTTCTTATTTTATGTTTACATGAACTCCACAAGGTATTATGACTACATCCATTTTATTATTCTTGAAACTGTAGCACACTGATTAAGTAATTGGCTCTGTGCACACAGCTGAAATTCAAACCCAAGTCCTTTGAGGGGGTGAATATTTATATTAGGCTTACATACTGGTTAGGCCTACCATTAGTTTCAAAATGTTTAGTAAATGAATTGACCCCATGAGGTGCTACTCAGATGTGCTTCAAAGAACCAAAACAAAAAAGAGAAACGAAAGGAATCTCCCTGTTGACACTTGAAGGAAACTCCAATAAACTCTTTTGCTAAAGTTCACCACAGAGATGAAAACATCTACTCAGAGGAAGCGGTGATGATGTCACTTGTACCATTTTTTTCCTGTGACATTAGTCACATATTTATGTACCTAAGGTGCAAGCACTTAAGGAAAAGATACCTATAATCAGACCTCCAAATTAATTGGGGTGACAAGTAACACATGAGACAGCACAAGGTAGGTGTATGAGGCTCTGGGTTTAATCTCAGGCCCAGTCCCCAGCAAAACACACACACACTCCACACAAATGCCTAATTACATGCGAAGTCACTGGGTGGACTGGCTAACTAGAACAGGGTTCATGTAGGAAGAACTGTTAAGAACTGTCAGCTCTGAAACACAGATTGTGTGTGTGTGTGTGTGTGTGTGTGTGTGTGTGTGTAAAAGAGAGAGAGAGAGAGAGAGAGAGAGAGAGAGAGAGAGAGAAGGTCTTGTTGTGTATTCAGGCTGGCCTTAAATTCACTGTGTAGCCCAGGCTGGCCTCAAACTCTGGTCAATCCTCTGCATTGGCCTGCCAAGTGCTGGAATTATAGAGTGCACCACCATGCCCAGTTTGAAACATATAGAATTGTGAAGGGACACAAACAACAGTTGTAGGACACATAACCCAACTCAAGCATTCAAGATGAGTCTTGTAAATAAGAAGCCTGGTACAGCTTTGGAAAACTCTTCCAAGGATGAGTAGAGTAGGCAATGGAACTTTAGATGAAAACAATGGAAAATATTCTCCATTCTTGAGTTTGCAAGATCAGCATTCAATTGATGTTTTTTTTTTTTTTTTTCATGCTGAGGATCAAACCTAGTCCTTGAAAATGCTAAACACATGCTTCTCCACTGAACTACACACACCCTCATCCTCAAATGTACGATCCTGCTACCTAAGACTCCCAAGTGCTGGAACTTTAGGCATGTGAACTGCTCATTTCATTCCACCTACTGCTTCCAAATATGAACAGTACTTAAAGTATTACAAATTGAAATACAGTTGCATTACGCATTATATGTGCATTATAGGTACCTTTAAAAGTTATATCACTGGCTATCCAAATACCACATCCAGTTTGGGCAGGAGTATATGTCTCCTTTCATAAACTGGTAGGCTACCCAGTTTGATGCTTCACCACCAACATACTTTGATTCCCATATATTCTGTAATACTCTGACCCAAATATTCTATAATAATTGCTCATGCAAAACTGTTAGTCATCAGAAAACAGAAGCCAGGCTTGGAGGTCTACACCCGTAATCCCAACACTCAGGGGGTTGAGGCAGGAGAATTGCCACAAATTCTAGGCCAGCCTGGGCTGAGCTCAAGGTGAGTCTTAAAACTGTAAGACTTCTCTTAAGTTTACCTAGATATCAACTGTTTGAACAATATTTTTCTTAAAAAATACAGATACAAGAATGTTAATGGTCAAGTTAAAAAAACATTAAAATCAGTTTTAACTAAGAATGTTTGGTATTAAAGTATACAGATGTGACTCCTCAGAACATATAAGATTCATTTCAAAAATATCTATTCAAATCTGAGAGAAAAACTGTAGGATGATGAAAAAAATGTTGATGAAATTTAAAAGAATTAAAGTCACTTAAAAGGATTAAAATCAGGGGCTGGGGATTTAGCTCAGCGGCATAAGTGCCTGCCTTGCAAGCAGGCAGTCATGAGTTAGATCCCCGGTACCAGTAAAAACGAAAAAGACAAAAAAAATTTTTAAAAAAAGGATTAAAATCACTTAAAAGAATTAAGATTTTTATTAGAAATACAAACAACCACTTTACTGACATAAAGCACACAGAAAGATAGTTTTATTATCCTGTCTTTTAAAATAATACTTATTAGTCATGGTGGTATCACACCTGTAATACCAACAGTTAAGGTTGAGGCAGGAGAATGCCAAGTTGGAGCCCAAACTGGGCAACTTAGTAACTCAGGGAAATCGTCAAAATAAAAAATTTTTTAAAGGGCTGGGGTGTAGCTTAACGCAAAAGCCCTAGGTTTGATAACCGTACCACAAAATAACAGTAATGATAATAAATAATGATTCCTGTAGGTTTGCAAGCACAAGTTACAGCTCAAGGTAGTTTTTCCTCAAATTATTGTTAAAGATTGTATTTTCAATTCCTCAAAAATTATTTAAAGTAGTATATCCTCAATTGAACACAGATCATTTTGAGTTGATAATATTAAACAAAAACTCAGCATAGTTATCTTTCATTATAGTTTAGCTATCTTCATTCTGAATGAAGTCTAGTACAGTGTTAGTGTAGATCAGAGAAATAACTAAAATGCTGTTCCAAAATAAGAAAGCAAATAAATCATAAATAATTAACATTCAGGTCATAAAGTCACTTCCTAACAATAACAAAAGTGTACATAAACATCAAGTGCTACATGCCTTTCTTACAACCATAGCCAAAATCTGCTGTATGATTCCAAACTGCCACAAAAAGCTTAACTTCCAGCCTTAGTATTTTAGAGTTACAAAATACAAACACTGGATTCACTTATTCATGTCCAAGGGCTTTCCAGGGTCTTAGCAACTGTAATGCAATGCAGAAAAGCTAAGGTGAAAAAAGATTTTAAAAAGAAGACAAACAGTAAAAAGCGAAGCTGTTATACTGTTTGCCAAGCATCAAACTTTCAGAGAAATCCAAAACCATTTAACAACTTTACCACAATAAACAATGTTTATGCAAAATGTACATGTATTAGTGCAATCTTTTATTAGCACACATTCTACTTACTTTGCTTTTTGCCATTTATAAGCTTCATTAAAAACACAAAGAAGTAACCAGTTGAATGAGGTTCAGTGCAGATAAGGAAAAACAGTCGTAAATTCCAGCTACAAATTTACATCCCAGAACGTTAGGTGAGAAAGACGCCCTTTAAAAACTATCACTATATATACACAGAGCTTTAGATTGTGAAATAGCGTACTTTGGCTTTCGGCTCTGTACAATTAGGTTTAACTCTAGTTCCTCCCCCGAAAAGAATTTTTTTCATCTCCAATCCTCATTGGCCCACATAGTTCCGGCCCACATGGTATCAGTGGGTGTGTCCGTCCTAGCAGGCCTTCTCATTGGCTGGGAAGAAACTGCATTTAAAAGGCTGTGATTTGGGGGTGGTCAAACTCCACGCCTCCAGACTTGAGCTCGCCAATAGACCCACGACACTGGCGGTTACTCTGTGATTCAAAGGGCAAGCTGGTCGCCAGCACTGCAACCCCAGAAAGCTGTGCTCTGAGGAGGGAGAAGTTAGCCTCCGCTGTGCTGCCCACTCTGCTCCTACTCCTGGACTTCATCAAAGGCTCACACAAGTGCATTTCCCAGCCAACAATTAAAAAGAGCGGGTAGCGCGTTCACCTGACCAGCTCGAGCTCCACACCCCATAGATCCATTCTGTGACCACGACCAAGGAAAAGCGCAGGCTGGGCCAAAAGCATTTAGTGCTCGGCGGCCTGGGAAGGAAGCATCGCAGCCCCTCGCGCAGTCCCTCCGGAGTGCGCCTGGCGCGCGTGGCACCTGCCCCCGCCGTTCCCAGTCCCCACGCGCCGCGCCGGTTTCCAGCCGGCGTTTTCCTTCCGGCAGACTTACGCGGCCTGTTCTTCTTCCCCGAGTCCATCCTCCGTCGCAGCCGGCATTTCTTGGCCGGAGAGTCATGCTGAGGGAGCTGCGGCTGCGGCTGGAGCTCCGCCAGGAGCGGGACGCGCGGGGGCGCCGTGTCGCTGCCGCCCGCGGGGCCTCGGCCGCGGGCCGGCGGCGGGTGGAAGCCGTTGTGCAGCAGCCCGTTCAAGGCGGCGGCGCCGGCGCCGGCGTGCGCGGAGTCCCCCGGGGCGTGCGCACTACAGCGACCCGGCTGCCCTCCGCTGTCACCCATGCCCGGGGCTGGCGGGGCAGCGAGCGGGCCTCGGCTCAGGAGGCCTCCCTGGAGGTCATTCTCGGGCGTCTTTATTCCTTCAGATCCTCCCTGCGCCTTCCGATTCGGCAGCCGCAAAGCCGGCGCCGGGGGATGGCGAGCCGGGCGCTCCTCCCCTCCTCCCGCCGACTCCCCCACTTCCTCCGCGCCCTGCCCCCTGCGCGCCCGGCGGGTGGCGCAGGTCGGGAACATGCGGGCCCCGGGCGCCGACTCGGGGACCTCCTCGCACCCCCAACCAGGGACACTACCGTTCGCCTCCCCCTGATCCTTAGGCCCCGCGACTTCAAGTGCAGCTTCCTCGCTTCCCAGACCTGTCCCCGCCACTGAGCATGCCCAGTCCTGCCCGCCACCTCCACCAATGAGTTTCAACATGGGGAATGAAGTTCTCTGGGTCTGCAAAAAGGAGATAGGCGGGTTGAGCTTTGTATGGCAGATCCAGCAGAAAGAGTACTGGGGGAGGTAGGCGCGAGAGAGCCAGCGGCTTCAGCAAGAAGCGGGAAGGAAGCCAAATATTTGTAGAGGTTTCAAGCTTGCTAATTCTGTCCCTAGTGGTACCACTAAATACCTTTGCAAGGTCACTCAAATCGTTCCCAACCTCCCCGTGTGTGTGTGTGTGTGTGTGTGTGTGTGTGTGTGTGTGCGCGCGCGCGCGTTTTAGTGACCAAAGTAGTCAGAGTACTAAGAGAAGGAGAAGGATTAATTATAGAAAGGTAGGTCGACGTGAGTAGAGAGGGGAGCGAATTTCTTTGCTGGCACGTGCACACACACACACACACACACACACCCATACCCATGCAGTTCAATGGAGTTAATAATCTTTTGCAGGAAAGGAATACATTGTAAGGACAACGAAGGGCAAAACAAGATAACAGGTGTTGGAAAGAAACCTAGTGAACACAGGCAATCTCAAACTTTAAAAAGCTCTTTCTTCACCCAGAAAAAGACAATGCCCTGTTAATTATAAAGCAAAGAGCTGCCTCAGGTTTTATGAAAGGAAGGCAGCATCAAATGGCAAGGCACATCAAGTGCTTTGCAGTCCGCCCTGAGTGTCTGTTCCAACTGGGCCACAGAGCAAACCCAGACATTACTCAACACTCCTAACATTAGGACACTGCACCACGCATGCTGAAGAAACAGGACAAATTTAGGTGGTGAGAATTTTAGGAAAGTTATGTCATTGCTTGAGACCTCACCTTTTGCATCGGTAACAGGCAGCTGTTGTGAGGAAATTCATCTAAAAGTATCTAGCAAAATCCTGATACACAGTGTTTGACAAAGTGTGATGTGAAATCTTAGGAGATCATTGTTTTAGATTAACTTGCTGCACACACTAGGCTAAAAACTTAAAATGAAATCACATACCCAAAAGTTGCCAGTCACCAAGTGAAACTTAGCAAGAAATCTGGGTTAGAGAGATAACAGACAAAATTCCCAAACATGCCAGCGAGATAATAAAGTTCCTTTTGCCACAAGCAAAAGAATTAACCAAAAGTAACTTGATGCAAGCCTGTGAGGTGCCAAATGCCTGAAACTCTAGCTGCCGTGAGAGGTTGAGGCAGGAAAATAGCAAATTCAAGTGCAGTCTGGGCTTACATGTTGTTCAAGACAAAACACTTGTCACGTATCTGTATGCAGAGGTCAATTCTCACTACTGCAGAAAAAAACGGTATGGACAAGACACTTTTCTATTGTTCTGTCTCTTGCCCCTTTTTACCAAGATCATAACTTTAAAATGATCAGCATACTTTTTGTTTCTGCTTTCTTTAAACCCTTTCCTTCTGCAGAACCAACCTTTTGACCCATTGGATCACTGTTCTGTTTTATGGAATGAAGTGTTGTTCAAATCTAGAATTAAAAAATAAAGCGAAATAAGATCATTAAAATACATTGTGAAAACATGCATGGTGATGCATGCCTGTAATCCTTGCACTTAGGAAGCTAGAGCAGGAAAATTGCAACAAATTTAAAGCCAGCCTGGGCTCATAGTGAATAAGAGTGACTCTGTCTCAAAAATGCATAAGTAAGTACATGCATACATATATAACTATAGTTTTATCCATTGGCAAGAGGTAGTTATCCTTATTACACTGTTATCAGCAGTTTGCCCTTCCTTTCAAGTAAAGGAAACAAATATGCCCATATCAATATTTATTGCATGGTTTATTGTGTGTAAACAGATCAAATGTTCTCAGTCTGCCAAGAATCAGAGGCTAACAAATATAGGCTGGCCACTGAGTTCTTGGACCTTTAGACCAGTTTATTCATCAGTGTCCAGAGTTTACATTTTGGTCTGGCATTTCCTTGCAGCAGACCTAGAATCAAAGCTTTAGAAACAGAAGCCACTTGCGAGCTTTGGTCCATCCACTTTTATTCACCCTTCCCCTCAAAGACACTGAACCCTAGAGAAATGACTGAGGATGGTAAGGGCAATGGTAGGACACAAATCTCAACTGTGACCCTTAATCTAAACTCTCTTTCCCTGACCTTATCAGATTATTTGGAGATGTAGAGAAAGAAGCCTAGGAGAGCGGGCCCCTATCATCTACCTCTCCTGTCTCATCCTGAGGTCTCTCTCTGTGCTGCTTTCGGTTCCTTGAGCATCTTGCATCTGCCATTTCTCTTGTCAGCAATTCTGTATGCTCAGACATCTTTTGTCTACTAGACCTCAAGTCATCCCTTAGATCTCCATTTTCACCTCTCCTATTTAGGGAAACTTCTTTGATCCTTTGGACTGCATTAGGTCTTCTGCTATATTTTCTTTCTGCTCCCTATACTCCCTTCTTGCCTTTAAATATAAAATTCATCCATTTCTCATTTGTAAATGGTCATGCCAACAGCACGTGACTGAGTTACTACTATGATTAAGTGAATTAATATATGTAAAGTGTCCACACATTACACGAAACAGCTGCATATTATTTGTTTACTGTCTCCTCCTACCAACTACAAACTCTATATAAACAGATGACTCTCGTTCATCACTGTATCCCTAGGAAGCTCTTGGCAATCATACCAGAATGAAGAAGGGACTTAGATGTTATTTCATCCAGGTTCTCTCCCATTTTGTTTTGTAAATTTTCTAGAAATTGCCACTGACCCTCCTCGATAATCCAAAGTATGATTTTCAAATTTTCACATAAATTGTTTAGAAAGTAACACTAGAGATGCAAATAAAAGCTTTAGCACTGCAGTGTCTCCAAGGACATATTCTGTACAGCTTAATTATCAGGCATGGTAAGGGAGGACTAGTCAAGTGTTTCTGCCCCTGGTAGGACACAAGTCCTGGAAAAGAAGGTTGAACATTTATGTCTCACTCTTGTCATGATTCCGCCCAGATCAGGTATATCCAGAGTGTGATAGGATGGAAACCAGGTGGTATCTCACAGAATTTTTTCAGGTGAGTGTGTTTCAGGTGACTTTGAGGAATGAGCCATCAGAAGGGACATGGAACAAATTATGTCTGGAAAAAAGTGAGGGAGGAAGGAATCCACAAGCAACTTCTCTCCCTGTTCTTTACTCATTAATTTATCAATAATTTATTAAGTGCATACGGTGTTGTAGGCATTAAAACAGATGCTGGGAAGACAAAGACAAAAGAGATGTCTCCATACTTCACTTCAAGAAGCTTACAATTTTACTAGAGAGAAAAATCATTGCTTTTTAATAATTTAGAGGGCTTTACCTTTCAACTTTCAGCCTTTATCCAATTCATATTCTATGCTCTTGTGAAACTACACACATTGTACTGTTTCCCAAACAGACTCTTTAGTGATTGTCTTGTCATTAAGACTCGAACCTAAGTACTCAAAGGAAGACCTCTGAGCAGATCCTCATCCCATCTGAGCTATCCCACGCCCAGGCTCTGTTGGATGCCTCTCTTACAAGCTATCAACCTCAAATCCAAGTTGAAGAAGACCAAAAATGGAAATGAAGAATTCATTCCAGCCAAAGTGAGGAAGGCTGCCTAAAGAAACACGTATTCTGGGTATCTAGTGCTATAGTTTGTATCTGGAAACTGTAACCCCAAAGTCTCGTGTATGGAGGTATTGTCTCCAGCTTCTGGCACTAATGGAAGGTAGTGGAAGCTTTAAGAGGTAGGGCCTAATTAGAGGAAGTAGGTCCCTGGGTGTGCGCCTTTGCAGGTATATGGGGACCCCTACCCTTTCCTTTCTTTTTGGTTCTCAGCTGCCATTAGGTGGGCAGCTTTCTCCCACCATGTGTTTAGAGCTATAATGTTCTGCTTCACAACAGACACAAAACAATGGATCCAAGTGACCATGGACTAAAGCCACTAACACTGAGAGTTAAAATACTTCTTTCTTCTTTTAAGTTTATTTTCTCAGATACTTTGTTACAGTGGCAAAAAGCTGACTAGTACACCCAGAATAAATGCTTTAGGATGGTGCTTTGATTTATAGCTCTTACCACTGAGTTACACACTCCCCCAAGCTCTTTTATCAGCTGGATTTGAAATTACATCACTTGTTAGGAATTATGGTTACTGCTGGCAAACGTTGACCTTTCATGTAAGGAAGCGATTGACTGTAGTATCAGTTTCTGGGTATTTAATTTGTGGGAAAAAGTCCCTTATACAGAAGGTCAGGAGACGTTAATAAACAGTGTTTCAGGGACTTGGGGTTTGGCCCAGTCCAAAGTTCAGCTTGCATCTGGAGAAGGACATGTCTGCAGCCGGGGTCAAAGGTTCAGTCATGACATGATTGGGATCAGATTGGGATCAGTGCCTCCTGACTTCATCGTAAGTGCCTCAAAATGCTGCTGCATTCTGATTTTTCTCCCATAAAGCTCTATCATTCTTTGCTTATTTCAGTATAATTCAACCCTTATCACGTTAAGTGAAATATTTCTCCTCTTTGTCCTCCTTTTTGTTGTTCTTCCTCTCTACCTCCTTCTTCTTTTTCCTCCTCCTCTTCCTCAAGGATCAGCAAACAAGAAACTAAATTCCCTTCTCAACCATCATGTGTTTTTTTTTTTCTTCTGTGACCAGCTGGGTGTTTTAAATTAAGAGTCTGGGTTACCAAAAAAGAGGCTGACTTATATCTGTGTCCTGCCTATTCCCACAAGCAATCTAGATATCTCTCAGCGTCCCAAGAGCTCACATTATCAAATCCCCAGGACTCAATGTTCCAGGAACAACATGGGAAGCTGAAGAAATGTGGATGGATTCAGTGAAGAGTAACGCTCTCCTACTGTACCAGGGGAGAAGCTGAGTCTGCTGGTAAAAGAAGGGCAGACCTTGTGAATGCCTTGAAAGCAGTTTTCTATTTCCTGCCTCAGAGGTAGATACAACTTTTTGTTAGCTGAGGCAGTGAACGTAAAAAAACGTAGTCCCGATTTTACGGAGGCATTCCTGATTGGTCCAAGTCTATGACTGACTGAAGAACTGACTGGCCAAGGAACTAGCAGGGAAAGCCTTCCAGGATTCTGGG